GTAGGATTCTCTTTCTCCCTGGTGTGATGAAATGTCACAGTGCACACTAAGGCTCCAGTGTGGTGTGAGGGGGGGCCCTGGCCTGCCTCCCCCGACCCCAGACCCCTGAGCTCCTTGCGAGGCCCTCATGCCCCCTGACCCTGCATGTCCACATCCTGCCCATTTGCCCCTTTTGTGGCACCCATTTCTCGTTCCTGCGCTTACTTCCTGGTGTTACTTCCTTTTTTTCCCCATGGAGACGTTACTGGGCCCGCTCGAGCAAATCAATGAACAACGGGAGGACAGTGCTACAGTTATTGGGCCATACGCAGTGCTGCGGACTCTGCACTCAGGGGTCACTCCTGGCCACAGTGTGGGGTGCTGGGGTCAAGCCCAGGCTGGGGAGGCTCTTGGATCACTGTTCTCAGGAGCAGAAGGGTGGTGGATTCTGCGCAGAGAAGGGAGAAGCCGGGTTGCCCTGTGGTCCAGAAACCATGTCTCCAGGGACTACTGCTAGCACTGTGCTTGGGGGTCACTCCGGGCAGTGCCCGGAGGACCTGGACATCCCTGCCATTGACCCATGAGGGCTTCTATGTGCAACATATGCCCCCACCCCAGGGCAGTTCAGTTGCTGTTATTTTTGGATCACATTCAGCTATGTGTGTGGTGTGGGTGAGGGGGTAGGGTGACTCCTGATTTGGGCTTTGGGGTCCCTCTTAGTGGTGCTCCAGGAATTGAACCCAGGGCCTCACATGTGCCCTACAATTGGTCCAGGTCACCAGCCCCCAAGATAGTTTATTTAGTTTTACTCGGGGAGAGGGAGTCTTTGGGGGACCCTCCAGTATAGGATATGTAATTGGGTGGGCACCTTATGCAAGCATTTTATTTTATTTATTTATTTTTATAATTTGCTTTTTTATTAGCAAAATATATATATATATATATTTATTTTTATTAGTGGAACACCATGAGGTACAGTCGTAGACTTATAAATTTTTTTTTTTTTTTTTTGCTTTTTGGGTCACACCCAGCTATACTCAGGGGTTACTCCTGGCTCATGCACTCAGGAATTGCTCCTGGCGGTGCTCGGGGGACCATATGGGATGCTGGGAATCGAACCTGTGTTGGCCATGTTGGCTGCGTGCAAGGCAAACGCCTTACTCGCTGTGCTATCACTCCAGCCCGACTTATAAATTTTTGCGCTTGGGTTTCAGTTATACAGTGATCAAGTACCCATCCCTCCACCAGTGCGCATTCTCCACCACCACTGATCCCTGTATCCCTCCCACCCTCCATCCCCCCCAACCCACCCTGCCTCTGTGGCAGGGCATTTCCTTTTGTTCTCTCTCCTTTTGGGTGTTGTGGTCTGCAAAAGAGGCAATGGGTGGCAATCATGTTTGGTCTATAGTCTACTTTCAGCATGCATCTCCCATCCTGGGAGAATCCTCCCAACACCCTTTATTTGGTGTTCCCTTCTCTATCTGAGATGCCTTTTCCCCTAGCATATGAGGCTGGCCTCTAAGCCATGGAGTAAACCTCCTGGTACTTATCTTGGCTATTCTTGGGTGTTAGTCTTCTATTTTGTTACTTAATGTTCCCCTGATGAATGTCTGTGTCTTTCTATGTATGTCCCTCTCTTTCTGACTCATTTCGCTTACCATAATACTTTCCATGTAGTACCAGTTGTATATGAATTTCATGACTTCATCTTTTCTAACAGCTACATAGTACTCCATTGTGTAGATGTACCAAAGTTTCTTTAACCAGTCATCTGTTCTCGGGCACTCGGGTTTTTTCAAGATTTTGGCTATTGTAAAGAGTGCTGCAATGAACAAACAAGTGCAGATTCACTTCGACTATACATTTTTGCCTCTCTGGGATATATTCCCAGGAGTGGTATTGCTGGGTCAAATGGGAGCTCAATTTCTAATTTTTTAAGAATCGTCCATACTGTTTTCCAGAAGGGCTGAACCAGTCGACATTCCCACCAACAGTGAAGGAGTGTCCCTTTCTCGCCACATCCGAGCCAGCATCGGTTGCTTTTGTTCTTTTGGATGTGGGCCAGTCTCTGAGGTGTGAGATGGTATCTCATTGTGGTTTTGATCTGCATCTCCCTGATGATGAATGATGTAGAGCATCTTCTCATGTGCTTTTTTGCCATTCGGATTTCTTCTTTGAGAAAGTTTCTGTTCATTTCATTGCCCCATTTTTTGATGGGGTTGGATGTTTTCTTCTTGTGGAGTTCAACCAGTATTTTGTATATCCTGGATATCAACCCCTTGTCAGATGTGTATTCGGCAAATATCCTTTCCCATTCTGTAGACTGTCTTTGTATTTTGGTCAGTGTTTCTTTGGAGGTGCAGAAGCTTCTTAGTTTAAGATAGTCCCATTTGTCTATCTCTGTTTTGACTTGCTCGGCCAGTGGCGTGGCATCTTTGAAGATACCATTAGCTTCAATGTCATGGAGGGTTTTGCCAACTTTGTCTTCAATGTACCTTATGGATTCTGGTCTAATGTTGAGGTCTCTAATACATTTTGATCTTACTTTTGTACATGATGTTAGGTAGAGATCTGAGCCCATGTTTTTGCATGTAGTTGTCCATTTTTGCTGGCACAATTTGTTAAAGAGACTTTCCTTGCTGCACTTCACATTTCTTGCTCTCTTATCAAAGATTAGACAATCATATGTTTGGGGGGAGATGTCAGTATATTCAACCTTGTTCCATTGGTCTGCAGCTCTGTCTTTGTTCCAGTACCATTCTGTTTTAATTATTACTGCTTTGTAGTAGAATTTGAAGTTAGGGAGGTTGATTCCTCCCCTTTTCTTTTTCCCAAGAATTGCTTTAGCTATTCATGGGGGCTTATTGTTCCATATGAATTTCAGGAGTGTTTGCTCCATTTCTTTGAAGAATGTCATGGGTAACCTTATAGGGATTGCGTTGAATTTATACAGTGCTTTGGGAAGTTTGCCATTTTTACAATGTTAATTCTTCCGATCCATGAGCAGGGCATATTTTTCCATTTCCTCGTGTCCTCTTTTATTTCCTGAAATAGCCTTTTGTAGTTTTCTTTCTACAGGTTCTTTACTTCCTTAGTTAAGCTGATTCCTAGGTAGTTGGTTTTCTGGGGCACAATTGTGAAGGGGATTGTTTTCTTCATGTCACTTTCTTCTCTCTCACTATTTGCATATAGGAAAGCCATGGACTTTTGGATATTGATTTTATAGCCTCATGCAAGCATTTTAACCCCTGTGCTCCATCTCTAGCCCTAAAGAGGGTTTAAAAATTCTAGATCCCCTGAGCATCGCCGGGTGTGACCCAAAAAGAGAAAAAAAATTTTTAAGTAAAAAATAAAATTCTAGATAGAGGGGCTAGAGTGATAGCACAGCATGAAGGGCGTTTGCCTTGCACACTGTCGACCTGGGTTCGATTCCCAGCATCCCATATGGTCGCCCTAGCACCACCAGGAGTGGATTCCTGAGTGCAGAGCCAGGAGTAACTTCTGAGCATCACCAGGTGTGACCCGAAAAACGAAATAAATAAATTAATTAAATTAAATTAAATTCTAGATAGATTGATTCCATTGCTGCAGAAAACTCGGAGCCTGAAACCTGTTTGCTGAAAAGAAGCAGCCCGTTGAGGCTCTCCCTGGTAGCTGCTGGTGCTGGGAGCCCAGGGGTGCCCGAGAGCAGACGGGGTCCTGCCCAGTCAGGCCCAGGGCCCTCCACACCCGCTTGCATCCTGTGCCTTAGGAAACACTCCTTTCCAGGTCGTCCAGGCCGCTGCCCTAGGCTGGGCGTGGGTGTAGTTTAAAGAGCGTGAATTAATTCCCTGAGACAGGCCACCCAGAATGACTCTCAGGGAAGGAGCAGGGAGAGGAAGCAAAGACGGTGCTGGAGAGATACTACTGCAGCTACTTGACCCAGGCTTGATCCCCGGCACTGCATATGGCCCCCTGAGCTCAGCTGGTTGTGCCCCCTGGCAGCCCCCAAGAACAGACAAAATGAGTGACTCACCTTTAAAAGCCTTGGTTTGAAAACACTAGGGCTGGAGAGAGAGATAGCAAGGAAGGCACTTGCCTTGCATACATCTGACCTGTGTTCGATTCCCGTCACCACCTATGGTCCCCTTATAGCCCTGCCAGGAGTGATCCCTGAGCACTGCTGGGTGTGGCCCAGGAAAAAAAAAGGAAAGGGGAAAAAACTTAAGAGTCTGAATATCGGGGTTGGAGCAATAGCACAGCGGGTAGGACGTTTGCCTTGCACGCGGCCGACCCGGGTTCAATTCCCAGCATCCCATATGGTCCCCTGAGCACCGCCAGGGGTAATTCCTGAGTGCATGAGCCAGGAGTAACTCCTGTGCATCGCCAGGTGTGACCCAAAAAGCAAAAAAAAAAAAAAAAAAAAAAAAAGAGTCTGAATATCTCATGTGGGTACTCTACAGACAGAACTGGACAATGAACTTAAACAGTTCTCTCAGAGACTATGACAATAATAGCTGGGAATGATCATGCTGGATAAGATCTGAGGGTTAAAAGGGATATTCTTGATAACCTTTCAGTATCAGTATTGCAAACCATGATGCCCAAAAGGAGAGGGGAGGGGGAGGGAGAGAGAGAGAGAGGTGCCTGCCATAGAGCCAGGCAGGGGTTGGGGGGTGGGGGTGATGGGAGGGAACCTGGGGACACTGGTGGAGGGGTGGGTGTTGGAACACTGTAAGACTGAAACCTAATCATGAACAGCTTTGTAAGGATCTATCTCACAGCGGTTCAATAAAAAAGTAAAATAATAATAATAATAATAATAACAGTTCTATCCATCAGGCACGATCATCTCAGGCAATAAGAGGGAGCATAGTTGATAAGGGCCCTATGGGAAGGGCCGGGGATGCACACAAAGCTGGGGTGCAGTCCATATCCACTCCCTTCCCCCCCCCCACCAACCCCCTAAGAATCCAGCATCTCTGCTTCCTCTGCGGGACAGTGCCCAGGATGACTCTCCCGTACCCCTGCCCCTCTGCCAGGCACCAGGATCATCTACGACCGCAAGTTCCTGATGGAGTGTCGGAACTCCCCTGTGAGCCAAACCCCGCCGCGGGACCTGCCCTCCATTCCCGGGGTCACCAGCCCGGCCTCAGAGGAAGCGGCCGCAGACGCCAGGCAGAGCCACCCGAGCAACAGCCCGGAGGCGAAACCGGCGGGCGCTGGTGAGTGGTGGGCTTGGGTCTGGAGGAGGCTTGCCCTGGAGAAGGACCTGGGGGCCCCTGCGACTCTTGGGACTCTTAGGGACTTTGCTGGGGAGGGAAAGACAGTGACCACCCCACCCCACCCTCTTTGGAGCAGCTCAGCCCGAGGCTGGGAGGATGGGCAGAGATCTAGAATGTTCCCTGGTACCAGCTTTCCCTATGAACGGGACTCTGCCCACTAGGAAGGGTGAATCGTGTGTGAGTAACCGGGTGGTGCCATTAACTGCCCCTTCATAGCATCGTCCCCAAACCCATCACCCACCCCAGTCCGTGACACACGGTCTGTGCGGCTGCCCCCTGCCAGGGCCATCCTCAGTGACCTCATCCTGAAGAGAAACGGCGCAAGCAGCTGGCTCTGAAGGCTGACGCGACCCCCAGGTCCTTGCTGGTGGCTCTGACTCCACGTGGCTCCGTGGCTCTGTGGCCCCACTGAGTCAGGCGGGAGCCAGGTGTGGTGGCCCCCGGGCCCTGCCTCCCTCTCACCTCACCCTCTGTCCTGCTCTCCCCAGGTGAAGAGTCACAGTTTGAAATGGACATTTAACAGACCCACCCGCGGACCAAGCAACGCCTCTGGGCCCCCCAGGCCCTTCCTGGGGGAGCATCCCACGAGCCAAGCCGAGGAAAGTCCCCGTCCTGGGCGGGCACTGAAGATGGGGGCTGCACACCCTGGACACTGCTCCCTGTCGCAGGCAGCACCAGTGATTCCCTCCACATGCCTGCTTTGAGCCAGACGTGCTGCCTGATGAGCAAACCCGAAGCCAGAGCCGGGGCTGGCCTTTACCCTTTACCGGCTCTTCCAGTCACACCCCTTCCTCGGGTCTGGGTGCGGGAAGCCCCCGCCCCTTCTCCAGAGAGGAAATAAAAGTCACCAGGCCCTTGGGCAAGGGCTGGCCCAGTCTGACCTGCCTCCACTCCTGACACATTGCCAGCACCCGCTCCCTCCGCTTGCCAGGAAGCCTGTGCTCTGGGCGACCTCCCTCCCAGCGACCGCATGCTTACATGCTCACACACACTCACGCTCACACATACACACGAATACACACGCATTCACGCTCACGCATACACACGCATTCACGCTCACATACACACACGCTCACATATACACGCATTCACGCCACACACATACATTCATGCTCATGCATACACACGTTCACTCATACACACTCATGCTTCCTCACACACATACACACACTCATGCTCACACAAGCATGCGTGCGTGCATCCCTCCCTCCCCCCCAGACAATCTCTGCCTTGACGACTCCACTGTTTTCGGAGAAGGCGGCATGAAAGGCACATGTGGGGTCAGTTCCTGGGAAGTGGGGCTTCGTGGCCAGGGTGTGCTATGGGTCTGAGTGGACGGAGGGAGGCGAGGGCCAAAACCATCAAGGGCAGGTGGGTGGGCTTGGGGTGGGGTGTAGCAGGATAGGGCGTCATGGTGCCTGCTTGGGCCAGAGTAAGTCGGCTCTGGGGGTCGGGATGGTCATTTGTTGGCTGTCCTGTGCTTTTCTTCCTGGTGGCCAGGGAAAGACCCAGGGATGAACCCATGCCCTGGTCCTGCCGTCGTCCCACTGGGGGTGTCTGGGGTCACATCAGCTGTGCTCAGGCTGACACGCGGCTCTGCACTCTGGGATCACTGGCGGCACGGGGAACCCGGCGGTTGCCATGTGCAAGGCAAGTGCCTCCCCACTGCAGTGTCGCTCTGGCATGAAACCAGCTGAGTGATTCCTAACACCACGACATGGGCTATCCTCGGGCCTCAAACACCAGGCGAGGTCTGTGGATGGACGATGACCTGTGGTCCAGCACTGGCCTTGGTGCAGGTCACACTTCCACGTGGAGCATCTTGGAAAAGGTCCCTTCCCCATGCCTGCGCTTTCCTGCACCAGGTGGGAGAGTCGCCCGGCCTGCCAAAGGGCCCCACAGCCCAAGGAGGGCACCATGTACGCCTGCCAACGCCAGGGGTCACTCCTGAGCATGGCTGGGTGTGGGCCCCACCCTACAAGGAGGGGAAGAAGAAAAGCAGAGATCCCCAAGCACCGCGTTGGCTCTGATGAGGTCTGGGGCTGGAGAGCCCCGTGGGACGCGCTCATGCAAAGCAGGAAGCCCAGGTTTGACCCCGGCACTGTGGGGACAACCGGGGCCCAGAGCTGGCTGTGGTCTTTGCCACAGAGGCTCAGGAAATGGACTACAGGGCCGGAGCCATAGTCCAGTGGGGAGGGCGTTTACCTTGCACCCCACCAACCCAGGTTTGAGCCCCGACATCCCACGAGGGCCCTCAGGCACCGCCAGAAGTGACAGAATAAAACCCAAAAAAAGGGCAAAGCGTGACAAACTCTCCTTAGCCGTCCAGACATCTTGCTTTCGTCTGATGTTTAAATCCTAACAGCCTGGATTCTGTCTCATGATTCAGGAGGCAGGGCTTTAAGAGCAGGCTTCTCTGAGTGTTCAGAACCGCAGGAAGAACTGTGACAAGAGTACACCTTTCCCACAGGGAAAAATCAGAAAACCCAGGATATTGGGCAAGTGCCCTTCCTGTATGTAGTGTTTCTCTCTCTCTCTCTCTCTCTCTCTCTCTCTCTCTCACACACACACACACACACACACACACACACACACACACACCCTTATGCCTTTTTGGGTACACCCAGCGATGCCCAGGGTTCTGCACTCAGGAATCATCCTGGTAGTGCTCAGGGAACCTTATGGGATGCCAGGGATCAAACCCAGGTTGGTGGCATGCAAGGCAGATGCCCTCCCCACTGGACTGTCGCTCCAGCCCCTGTAGTCCATTTCTTGAGCCTCTGGTGGCAAAGACCACAGTCCTTGTCCTTGGGAGGTTAGAACAGCATTCTGTCCCTGGGCGTGGAGCCTGGGAGGTTTTGTCAAGATACTTCCAGAAACAGTTCAGTCTGTTCGCCCTCAGACACCAGAGCAGTTTCTGCAGGTGTGGCGTATAAGCCATGGGCAATGAGCCAGAAACACAGGTGTTTTTTAGGCTGCTAAGGAACTCACAAACTGTCCTGGACAGGAAAAGTAGTGGGGGCCATGAAGACACCCAGAAATCTCATAAGGTCACACTTTTCACTGGTCGCTGCCTGCAGGTGTCCAGGCCATGAGGGAAGGAGCTGTGAGGCTGTGAGGCCTTAGAGGGGACGGGACCAGGGAGTTCCAGCTTAAGACTCTCCCGGATGAGTCCTGTAGTGTCAAGGACCTGTCCTTGAAGGTCCAGGAGTGTCAAAGCTGCTGGGCTTTCAGGCAAGAAGCTCCCCGGGACACAGGCGGGACTGGGCTACTGGGGACGTCACTGGGGAGGGGACAGAGCGGCGTCCAGGGTTGGGGCCTGCCTGGAGTCACCCAGGAGTGAGGCCAGAAAGGAAGTGGCAGGCTAGGAACTGTGCACAGTGAGAAGCCAAGAGCAGGACCTTGGGAGTGTCCCGCGGGCACAGGAGCCCTCTGGCTCTCCTTGAGGTGCTGAAGAAGCCTTCATCCTTCCAGTGTGACAGTCACCTCAGAAATGACTCCAGGAGTGGCCCGGGGACACCAGCCAGCTCGGAAGTCCCATGACTAAAACCAGTATTTCAGGAAGAATGGGGTTGGACAGGACCAGACTGAGGTTGGCCTTCCAGCTGAGGCCAACCTCTGTCCAACAAAAATAGCAACTGAGGTGTCTTGAGCAACACTCGAGTCCAGAGGGCAGGCCTGGAGGCAACAACAAGGGATCTCAGACAACACCCAGGAGAAAGGGGGGTGCGGGGCAGGAGTGTGCAGATAAGGGGACTCGCCAAAGGCCCCAGGAGCCGTAACGGAAAGGAAACAAGTGGGGATGAGATGTTTGGGGGACAGCGTGAGGGTACTTGGGCAAGCTGGGGTAGGGTAGGGTTTCTCACTGAAACAGACGCTTTCTGTGTTGTGACTGGAGCTTGACCAGTCCACCCACGGGCCTCCGGACGTAGAAGCTGTTCTTGTCTGACCCAAGCCTGTGGCCGGAGCCATCAGATCTGGGGGCCCAGGCGCTGGCTGCAGAGCCCAGGGTCAGAACCCCTGTTGGCCAGAACTAAGCTTGGCCTCTTTAGACCTTGCACTACAGGTGGCGGGAATTTGGAAGTATCAGAATGAGGCAGTGCAGCCCCTGGGCCCCGAGCACCCAAGGGCGTGTCCCCCCTCCTCACCCCTGCAATAAGAGAGAAATGCACCGGCTGGTAGAATGAATAGAGCTAGGGTCAGCAGGTCCTTTAGCTCTTGGGGGTTGCTTAGAATTTAGGAGGGTGGGAATGAGATAGCAAAGCAATAAAAGGAGATTAATGACCCCTCTCAAACATTCACGGGCTGCCCCCTGAGGGTCCTACACCTATACCGTGGACCTAGCAGGGTCCGGCCTCCAGGCCCTCTCCCAATAGTCACTGATTTTCAGGGATTCAGACAAGGAGATTCTCCTTTCAGAACATTTGGCTTTCTCTGTTGTCACCACAAACGTTGCCTTCTCGAATTAAGGGGCAGCATGAGGGCCAGGCCCTTCGGTCCAAGCAGATGCACACACCTGGCAGGGACAGTTAATCCTGCCGGGAGATTAGCGCCTCACTCAGCTCAGGGAGGCAGGTTTCCTAGAAGAATCAGAACATCATTGGCAGGATAGGATGGTAAGGAGTTCTCTCTCTCTCTCTGCAGATTGATTCAGGGTGGGGCATGAGAGGAGGATTATAGGGCTACAACTCCAAATAACTGACTTTCCTCAGTTTCCTCCAGTCTGATTTCTTTTTTTCTTTCTTTTTTTTTTTTTTTTTTTTTTTTTTTTTTTTTTTTTGCTTTTTGGATCACACCCGGCGATGCTCAAGGGTTCTTCCTGGCTCTGCACTCAGGAATCACTCCTGGCGGTGCTCAGGGGACCATATGGGATGGCTGGGAATCGAACCTGGGTTGGCCGCGTGTAAAGCAAACGCCCTGCCCACTGTGCTATGGCTCCAGCCCTTCTCCAGTCTGATTTGACTGTCCCTGCGGGGAATTAGGGAAGGGGAGGCCCATTGGCCAAAAAGGAGAGAACTTGCCCTGACTTCCGAATGTTCTTCAGAGGCATTGGCACAGGAAGCGGGTTTTAGAGGAAGAGCCATTAGGGGTCATTTCCTCTCCCCCCCTTAATTCCAGTTTCTCTCCAGGTTTGGGATTTTTTGGTTTCCAGTTTCAACTCAGTGCTGCCCTCTGCTGGGTAGCCGTTAAAACCAGAAAGGTTGCGCGGGGCTAACCCAGGCTTCACATAAGGACCCCTGAGCACCGCCAGGAGTGATCCCGGAGCACAGAGCCAGGAGTAAGCCCTGACCACAGCCAGGTGTGGCCCAAACAAGAAAAAAAATTTTTTTGAAAATTTTAAAAATGTGAGCTTCGCAACGAATCTCAGAAAAAAACATCAAATCACCCCATATGCGTTTCTGGGCCCTTCTGGGAATGGGGGAGGGCAAATTCCAGCACCTCCCCCCCACACAGACACACACCTGACACCCTCCAGCATAGAAATACACAACAGCTCCACAACTGAGCCTCATCAAACTGTCACACCACCAAGCCCTCCCAGCTGCATACCTCCAAAGTCCACAGTACTGACAGCCCAGCAAATGTGGTGGGAAAGCTGGGTAGAGACTCACCAAGCTCAGCCAACAACAACAACAAAAAAAACAATAACAGAACAGCACCAACTGGCCCAAACTCGGACAATGACTTCAGAAACACCACGATGAGATGAAACAATGATCACAAATTGACTTTTGCTGGTGTGTTTTTTTGATAATTTGCCATTCTGACAAGCAATATGAAGTCAATGTGTTTGTGTCTGCTCAGGGGCCAGGCTGAGGGAGGGGTGGGGCCCCCGTGGAGG